GTGGGGTTGCGTGTGTGTGTGCGGCGGCAGGGGGAGTGATGGAGCGTGGGGTTGCGTGTGTGTGTGCGGCAGAGTCTGTGTGTGTGCGGGAAGCGGCGCGGTGGGGCTTGGAGTGGGCATGGTTTCCGCAGAGGGAATGTTGGCCGGAAGGCCATGTGTGCGCGCGATGGAACTTGTGGCTGGGCGCCAATGCGCATGCTCAGTTGTTTTGCCGTTTTGTGAGTGTGTTGTGTTGTTTTTCATTTTGAGTAGATATGTTTGTACCTTGTGGGTTGTGTTATGGGCATGGGAATTTTGGTTAAGTTTCGTTGGGGTTTTTTTGAGTTTTGTTCTTTTGCCGCTTTGTGAGTGTGTTGCTGTGTTGTTTTTCATTTTGAGTAGATATGTTTGTACCTTGTGGGTTGTGTTATGGGCACGGGGATTTTAGTTAAGTTTCGTTGGGGGATTTTTGAGTTTTGTTGTTTTGCCGTTTTGTGAGTGTGTTGTTGTGTTGTTTTTCATTTTGAGTAGGTATGTTTGTACCTTGTGGGTTGTGTTATGGGCACGGGGATTTTGGTTAAGTTTCGTTGGGGGATTTTTGAGTTTTGTTGTTTTGCTGTTTTGTGAGTGTGTTGTTTTGTTGTTTTTTATTTTGAGTAGATATGTTTATACCTTTTTGGTTGTGTTATGGGTACGGGGATTTTGGTTAAGTTTCGTTGGGGGATTTTTGAGTTTTGTTGTTTTGCCGTTTTGTGAGTGTGTTGCTGTGTTGTTTTTCATTTTGAGTAGGTATGTTTGTACCTTGTGGGTTATGTTATGGGCACGGGGATTTTAGTTAAGTTTCGTTGGGGGATTTTTGAGTTTTGTTTTTTTTCATTTGCCGTTTTGTGAGTGTGTTGTTGTGTTGTTTTTCATTTTGAGTAGGTATGTTTGTACCTTGTGGGTTGTGTTATGGGCACGGGGATTTTGGTTAAGTTTCGTTGGGGGATTTTTGAGTTTTGTTGTTTTGCCGTTTTGTGAGTGTGTTGTTGTGTTGTTTTTCATTTTGAGTAGATATGTTTGTACCTTGTGGGTTGTGTTATGGGCATGGGAATTTTGGTTAAGTTTCGTTGGGGGGGTTTTGAGTTTTGTTTCCTCGTTGGATGCCCCTAACAAATTTATATATATAGATGTTATAGAAAACATACCCACTTGTCCCTCCCACCAGAGTCCCATAGAAGTTCGAGAGAGCACATAAGTCTAAAGGGAGGTGGTTTCTCAGTAATAAACGTGCTGCCTTCTGCTGTATATGAAACCTAGGGCATAAAACCTTGATTAAATGTACACACTATCTAACATGGGAAGGGTCCTTGTTGTTAAAGGAGTGGTGTGTGGAAAGAGAGGTGCTCCTCCAAGGTCAGCTGAGGTCAGACGCTTTTGTAGCTGAGTGTATAGGACTTGAACCCCCCCCCCCCCCCCAAAATCTTTTTCACCACTCATTTTTGAATGGCTTCCTTCTTTTCAGGTTACAGGACAGCCAGCGTCATCATTGCACTGACTGATGGAGAATTGCACGAGGACCTTTTTTTCTACGCCGAACGAGAGGTGAGACCTCTGTACAAGGAGGAATCTGCAGGACCCAACCTCTGGCCTATTTGTGTTATTATTATTATTATTATTATTATTATTATTATTATTAAGATTATTATTATTTGTTTCCCTTCCTCTTTTCTTCCCCTTCTCCCCTTCCCGCCCTTCTTCTCCTTCCTCTTCTTTGCTTCCCTCATTCTTCTCTCCTTCCCCTTCCCTCCTTCCCCATACCCTTCCCCCTTTTCTTCCCTCTCTTCTCCCCTTCTCCCTCTCCTTTTCTCTTCCCCTTCTTGCTTTCTCCTTCCCTTTCTCCTTCCCTCCTTCTCCCTTCCTCTCCTTCCCTTTCCTTCTCCCCTTCTCTCTTCCTTCCCTCCTTTCCTTCCCTCCCCCCCCTTCCCTCCTTGACTCCTTCCCCTTCTTTCCTTCCTTCCTCCCCCCTTCCCTCCTTCCCTTCCACCTTTTCCCTCCCCTTCTCTCCTTTACTCTTCCCTCCTTAACCTTCCTTCCTTCTCCTTCCCCATCCCCTTCTTTGCCTTCCACCTTCCCTTCTCTCCTTCCTTCCCCTTCTCCCTCCTTTCCCTTCCTTTCCTTTTTCCTCTTTGACTCCTTCCACTTCTCCCTTTCCCCTTCTCTCCTCCTTCCCCTTCCCTCCTTAACCTTCCCTACTTCTCTTTCCCCTTCCCTCCCTGACCCCTTCTTCTCCTTCCCTTTCTCCTTCCCTCCTTCTCTCCTTCCCTTTCCCCTTCCCACCTTCCCTACTTGACTCCTTCCCCTTCTTTCCTTCCCTCCTTACCCCTCCCCTTCCTTTTTCCTCTTTGACTCCTTCCCCTTCTCCCTTTCCCCTTCTCTCCTCCTTCCCCTTCCCTCCTTAACCTTCCCTACTTCTCTTTCCCCTTCCCTCCCTGACGCCTTCTTCTCCTTCCCTTTCTCCTTCCCTCCTTCTCTCCTTCCCTTTCCCCTTCCCACCTTCCCTACTTGACTCCTTCCCCTTCTTTCCTTCCCTCCTTACCCCTCCCCTTCCTTTTTCCTCCTTGACTCCTTCCCCTTCTCCCTTTCCCCTTCTCTCCTCCTTCCCCTTCCCTCCTTAACCTTCCCTACTTCTCTTTCCCCTTCCCTCCCTGACGCCTTCTTCTCCTTCCCTTTCTCCTTCCCTCCTTCTCTCCTTCCCTTTCCCCTTCCCACCTTCCCTACTTGACTCCTTCCCCTTCTTTCCTTCCCTCCTTACCCCTCCCCTTCCTTTTTCCTCTTTGACTCCTTCCACTTCTCCCTTTCCCCTTCTCTCCTCCTTCCCCTTCCCTCCTTAACCTTCCCTACTTCTCTTTCCCCTTCCCTCCCTGACCCCTTCTTCTCCTTCCCTTTCTCCTTCCCTCCTTCTCTCCTTCCCTTTCCCCTTCCCACCTTCCCTACTTGACTCCTTCCCCTTCTTTCCTTCCCTCCTTACCCCTCCCCTTCCTTTTTCCTCTTTGACTCCTTCCCCTTCTCCCTTTCCCCTTCTCTCCTCCTTCCCCTTCCCTCCTTAACCTTCCCTACTTCTCTTTCCCCTTCCCTCCCTGACCCCTTCTTCTCCTTCCCTTTCTCCTTCCCTCCTTCTCTCCTTCCCTTTCCCCTTCCCACCTTCCCTACTTGACTCCTTCCCCTTCTTTCCTTCCCTCCTTACCCCTCCCCTTCCTTTTTCCTCTTTGACTCCTTCCACTTCTCCCTTTCCCCTTCTCTCCTCCTTCCCCTTCCCTCCTTAACCTTCCCTACTTCTCTTTCCCCTTCCCTCCCTGACCCCTTCTTCTCCTTCCCTTTCTCCTTCCCTCCTTCTCTCCTTCCCTTTCCCCTTCCCACCTTCCCTACTTGACTCCTTCCCCTTCTTTCCTTCCCTCCTTACCCCTCCCCTTCCTTTTTCCTCTTTGACTCCTTCCACTTCTCCCTTTCCCCTTCTCTCCTCCTTCCCCTTCCCTCCTTAACCTTCCCTACTTCTCTTTCCCCTTCCCTCCCTGACCCCTTCTTCTCCTTCCCTTTCTCCTTCCCTCCTTCTCTCCTTCCCTTTCCCCTTCCCACCTTCCCTACTTGACTCCTTCCCCTTCTTTCCTTCCCTCCTTACCCCTCCCCTTCCTTTTTCCTCCTTGACTCCTTCCCCTTCTCCCTTTCCCCTTCTCTCCTCCTTCCCCTTCCCTCCTTAACCTTCCCTACTTCTCTTTCCCCTTCCCTCCCTGACCCCTTCTTCTCCTTCCCTTTCTCCTTCCCTCCTTCTCTCCTTCCCTTTCCCCTTCCCACCTTCCCTACTTGACTCCTTCCCCTTCTTTCCTTCCCTCCTTACCCCTCCCCTTCCTTTTTCCTCTTTGACTCCTTCCACTTCTCCCTTTCCCCTTCTCTCCTCCTTCCCCTTCCCTCCTTAACCTTCCCTACTTCTCTTTCCCCTTCCCTCCCTGACCCCTTCTTCTCCTTCCCTTTCTCCTTCCCTCCTTCTCTCCTTCCCTTTCCCCTTCCCACCTTCCCTACTTGACTCCTTCCCCTTCTTTCCTTCCCTCCTTACCCCTCCCCTTCCTTTTTCCTCTTTGACTCCTTCCCCTTCTCCCTTTCCCCTTCTCTCCTCCTTCCCCTTCCCTCCTTAACCTTCCCTACTTCTCTTTCCCCTTCCCTCCCTGACCCCTTCTTCTCCTTCCCTTTCTCCTTCCCTCCTTCTCTCCTTCCCTTTCCCCTTCCCACCTTCCCTACTTGACTCCTTCCCCTTCTTTCCTTCCCTCCTTACCCCTCCCCTTCCTTTTTCCTCTTTGACTCCTTCCACTTCTCCCTTTCCCCTTCTCTCCTCCTTCCCCTTCCCTCCTTAACCTTCCCTACTTCTCTTTCCCCTTCCCTCCCTGACCCCTTCTTCTCCTTCCCTTTCTCCTTCCCTCCTTCTCTCCTTCCCTTTCCCCTTCCCACCTTCCCTACTTGACTCCTTCCCCTTCTTTCCTTCCCTCCTTACCCCTCCCCTTCCTTTTTCCTCTTTGACTCCTTCCCCTTCTCCCTTTCCCCTTCTCTCCTCCTTCCCCTTCCCTCCTTAACCTTCCCTACTTCTCTTTCCCCTTCCCTCCCTGACCCCTTCTTCTCCTTCCCTTTCTCCTTCCCTCCTTCTCTCCTTCCCTTTCCCCTTCCCACCTTCCCTACTTGACTCCTTCCCCTTCTTTCCTTCCCTCCTTACCCCTCCCCTTCCTTTTTCCTCTTTGACTCCTTCCCCTTCTCCCTTTCCCCTTCTCTCCTCCTTCCCCTTCCCTCCTTAACCTTCCCTACTTCTCTTTCCCCTTCCCTCCCTGACGCCTTCTTCTCCTTCCCTTTCTCCTTCCCTCCTTCTCTCCTTCCCTTTCCCCTTCCCACCTTCCCTACTTGACTCCTTCCCCTTCTTTCCTTCCCTCCTTACCCCTCCCCTTCCTTTTTCCTCTTTGACTCCTTCCCCTTCTCCCTTTCCCCTTCTCTCCTCCTTCCCCTTCCCTCTTCCCCTTCTCCCTTTCCCCTTCTCCTCCCCTTCCCTCCTTACCCTTCCCTTCTCCCTTCCCCTTCTCTCCTTCCTCCCCTTCCCTCCTTGACTCCCTTCCCCTTCTTTTCCTTCCTTCCTTCCTCTCCCCTTCGCCATCTCCTTCTCCCTTTCTCTCCTTACTTCATCCTCCCCTTCCCCCTTCTTTTCCCTTCCCTCCTTCTTTTTCCCCTTCACCTCCTCCTCCTCATTATGATTATGATGATGATCTTTAACTATGGCTGGGACCCTTCTTGATAGTTATGACCTCATAAGCTGCTCTGAGCCGTCCTGTATACAGACACGAATGGCCTCCAATGACCCCCAAAGCCCACCTTTGCAGCCTTGCCATTCTTTGATCTGAGTGTTCCCAAGGCCCTGGAGGTTGGCGTTTCTACCATGATGTTTGCCAGGCCCCCCAGGTGGTGGGGCTTTCCAGGTCAAGCGGTTGCGCATGATCCCAGGGCACTGCATGACCAAGTTTGCAACTCATGTGTATATGCAAGACGACAACATTGAGAACAGCAGTTCAAAAATGGCCACAAAGCGCATTGCATTGTGTGTCATTCATGTGCCTTGGTTTGCCTTGGGGCAAGAGGAGAGGAAGAAAGCAATATTTTTGCACCTTTAAATATGATGTCTGGGTCTGTCTGTCTGTCTGTTTGGTGGTCAAAATTGGCACGTTCCTCCAGCTTTGATCTCTTTGGAGAGATTTGGGGCAAAACAAAGGGATTACTGCCCAGACTGGTTGGGTAAACATCGGGTTCAGTGCATGGAGAGATAATCCAAGTGAGGCCTTTGTTTTGTGGATAAACACATTTGGAAGGGAAAGAGGCCGCTGGGAACAATTGTTTTTGAGCATTGGACCCTGGGTTCAAATCCTTGCTTTCAAAACCATCTAGAACAGTGGTTCTGGTAAGCTGGCTGGGATTTCTGGGAGTTGTAGGCCAAAACACCTGGGGATCCACATGTTGAGCACTAGAAGTTCCGCAAATGCATGGAAAACAACCCAAAATTCACCCCAGAAGGACCTCCAAATGCCTGCCTTCCTGAATGCATATCTACAGAGATACTAATAATTAAAAACAATAATGTAATATTTATTATTATTATTATTATTATTATTATTATTATTATTATTATTATTTAAAATGTGTTGAAATGGACATTGGGTGACCTTGGGCAACCCAGAACTTGCATAGATATGCAAATAATGATAATGATGATAATAAGTTAATATATAGTAGTAATAATAATAATAATAATAATAATAATATGTTGAGATGGACCTTGGGTGACTCAGAATGTGAACGGAGATGCTGCTATTACTATTAATAATAATAATTTAATGTATTATCAATTTTATCCTATGCATTTGACCCACCCACTCTGTTTTTATTCTTCTACCATTTTATGTTGCGTTTGCTTATTGTATACTTGTTATTGTTTGCATTTTATTTTGATGTTATTATTTGTTTGTTGTTTTTTACTTTGCTGTATTGTAATTCTTGGGCTTGGCCTCATGTTAGCCACCCTGCGTCCCCTTTGGGGAGATGGTGGCGGGGTATAAATAAAGATATTATTATTATTATTATTATTATTATTATTATTATTATTATTATTATTAAATATCTGTTGAAATAGACATTGGTGACCTTGGGCAACCCAGAATTTGCACAGAGATTTGTGTGTGGTGTGTGTCTGTCTGTGTGTGTGTGTGTGAGAGAGAGAGAGAGAGAGAGAGAGGAGCAACTTGAGAAGCGACTTGCACAGAGATATAAATAATTTGTTTTTGTCATGTCAGGAGCGACTTGAGAAACTGCAAGTCGCTTCTAGTGTGAGCGAATTGGCCGTCTGCAAGGACTCTGCCCAGGGGACGTTGCCCATATGTTTGATGTTTTACATCCTTGTGGGAGGCTTCTCTCATGTCCTCGCATGGGGAGCTGGAGCTGACAGAGGGAGCTCAACTCACTCTCCCCGGAATCGAACCTCGACCTGTCGGTCAGCAGTCCTGCCGAAACAAGAGGGCTCCATGCAAATTATAATTATTTGTCACTCGTTTTCATATTGCATTAAGAAAATAATCCGACATTTCCTATTCCCACTGAAAAGGCAGCAGATATAGGTTATACATTAGATGTAAATATAAAAGAGCACAGTCCGTAATGCGAAGGGAAAATGTCATGAAATTGAGAATTTTGGGAGTAATTCTGTCTTAATTCAATATCTGAATGTTTTAACAGTTTTAAAGATACATGCGATTGTTTTGTTTTTATGTTTACATTTGAATGCATTTGCTTGTTTTTAATTGACATTGTTTTATACCTATCATTAGCTGCCTTTGATCCCTATGTTAGGAAAAAACCTGGAAAATAATAATAATAATAATAATAATAATAATAATAATATGTTTGGGAACTATAGTTCAAGTGAGTCAATGCATTCCTGGTTGCGTCTACATTGCAAAAATCAGTGCAGTTTAATGCTACTTTAACAGCCACAGCTCAATGCAGTGGGACATTGGGAGTTGTAGTTTTCTAAGGTCCTCTTCCAAATAGTGCCAAACTACAAATCCCATTATTATTCTGTTAGTAGTGAAAGCTGCGTCAAGATGTATTAATTCAGGGTTCCATAGGCTTGAGCCTTGGCGGTTTATAGTGGTTTCAAACTGCATTAATTTTTGCAATGAAGATGCACCCATGCATGCATTTTGAAAACTGGCAGGTGGATGGGTTCAAGTCAGTGAATATTATTTTCACATCTGCTTTAAAAGGAGGCACCATTCTGACACTCAAAATACTTTATCTATCTATCTATCTATCTATCTATCTTATCTATCTATCTGCTTTTGCTCCACATCCTTCCGTTTCAGGCCAACCGATCCAGGGAACTGGGAGCAACGGTTTACTGCGTCGGAGTGAAAGATTTCAATGAAACGCAGGTAACCTCCTTTCATTTATTAAGAAAAGATGCTTTTAGATAAATGTCTCATGCGTCATGTCTAAATTTGCACTAAAAATAGCTTTTAAGGGAGAGGAGCTTGACTCATTGCTTTGATCGTAAGCGAGAATCAAGTTGTGGCACGAAAAGGCGAGACGGTTTTGCTCAGTTTTGCAAATGCAAAGTGTCGGGGTCTAGGTTCTTTGGACTGCAGTTCCTCAAATCCCCTTCCTCCCATTTGGAATGCTGGGCTTTGTAGTGCAAAGGAATGGCCATTCCAAGACCTGAAATGCACAAAAATGCACAAAATGTTTGCAAAATTAATTGCATCAGTTTTTGCAAAATTTGTATGTGACTTTTGCAAAATTAATTCTTTGTTTTTAGCCTAAAGCAAAGGCATAGGAAGTTGTTCTCCGCTGCCATATAATCCAGTTTCTGAATCCAGATGATCTGCTTTGACCTGGATTATATGGCAGTGTCGATCCCACAATAGCGCAGTAGATTAAACTGCTGAGCTGCCGAACTTGCTGTTAACCCCAGCTTCTGCCCACCTAGCAGTTCGAAAACATGCAAATGTGAATAGATCAATAGGTACCACTCCTGTGGGAAGGTAACGGCGCTCCATGAACTCATGCCAGTGGCCACATAACCTTGGAGGTGTCTATGGACAATGCCAGCTCTTTGGCTTAGAAATGGAGATGAGCACCCAGAGTCGGACACAACTAGATTTAATGTTGGGAAAATCTTTACCTTTACTATATGGCAGTGTAGACTCATATAATCCAGTTCAAATCTTATCATCTGGATCAGAAGTTTGCCCAGGCCTGATCTGGATTATATGGCAGTGTAAATCCATTTTATCTGTGGTGGATACGTTCTTGGTTATTACACAAAATAATAATAATAATAATAATAATAATAATAATAATAATAATAATAATAGCACTGCTTTGGATCCTAATCCTAGGAGAAAAACAGGATAACAACAACTGTCCTGGAGTTGTTGAAATGGAGGACCCCCATATCTGGGACAGAGACGTACCTGGATACTACACATGATGATGATGATAATAATACTAATAATACTAATACTACTACTACTAATAATAATAATAACAACTAGAAAAGCTGACATGATATGAGGATTTAAAGATCGAACTGCAAGCCAGTCAGGGTGGTCGCAGTGGCGATCGACACACTGGGTGCAGTGCCTAAAGACCTTGGCCTGCACTTAAACACAATCGGCGCTGACAAAATTACCATCTGCCAACTGCAGAAGGCCACCTTACTGGGATCTGCATGTATTACACAGTCCTAGATACTTGGTGTCTGACGTGTGATCCAATACAACAGTCAGCAGAGCGATGTTGTTTGCTGTGGACTTACCTTGTTGTGTTTCTAATAATAATAATAATAATAATAATAATAATAATAATAATAATAATGCTTTGAATCCTAATCCTGGTTAAAAACAGGTTGTTGATAACTATGATAATAATAAGAATAACAACAACCACAGCAATTGTCCTGGAAGAAATGAATGATGATGATGATGATGATGATGATGATGATGATGATAACAACAGTAACAAAATGTATTGAAATGGAGGATCCCCATATCTGTGCCAGATAGGTTTCTTGATACTACACAGATTATTATTGTTATTGTTATTAGTAGTAGTAGAATTGCTTTGGATCCTAATATTGGGAGAATAACGATGACGATAATAGCAACGGTAACAACAACCATCACAATAACTGTCCTGGAAGAAATGGAGGAGGAGGATTGTAGTAATAGTAATAATAATAATAATAATAATAATAATAATAATAATAATAATAATGAACTGTATTGAAATGGAGGACTTCTAGTTAAATACAGCATCTCCGGGAGTTAATTCTGGGGCTTCCAAAAGACAGTATTTGCTAACTCACTTTTGCATCCCTTTTTTGCATCTTCTTCAGCTGGCCCGGATCGCCGACAGCAAGGACCACGTTTTCCCCGTCAATGACGGCTTCGAAGCTCTCCAGGGCATCATCGACTCCGTAAGTAGTTCTTAATAAATATGCATGAATTGCGGGACTTTTTTGCAAAATTCTATGAATTTTGGAAAAATTAATTGTATGAATTTTGCAAAATTGTTTCACTTTGCAACATTGTAGGTATGACTGCAAAATTGTATGACTTTTGCAAAATCATTGTCTCACTTTGCAAAATTGTATGGATGACTGTGAATTTTGCAAAATTGCAAAATTGTATATATGACTTTGCAAAATTGTATGTATGATTGCATAATTATTGTATGAGTTTTACAAAATTGTATATATGACTGTATGTCGAAGGCTTTCATGGCTGTAATCACTAGGTTGTTGTAGGTTTATTGGACTATATGGCCATGTTCTAGAAGCATTCTCCCTTGACGTTTCAACTGCATCTATTGCAAGCATCCTCAGACCTCTGCCATAGATTCAGGTGAAATGTCAGGAGAGAATGCTTCTAGAACATGGCCATATAGCTTGAAAAACCTGCAACAACCCTGTTTATGTGACTTTTTGCAAAATTAATTCATAGAATCATAGAATCATAGAATCAAAGAGTTGGAAGAGACCTCATGGGACATCCAGTCCAACCCCCTGCCAAGAAGCAGGAATATTGCATTCAAATCACCCCTGACAAATGGCCGTCCAGCCTCTGCTTAAAAGCTTCCAAAGAAGGAGCCTCCACCACACTCCGGGGCAGAGAGTTCCACTGCTGAACGGCTCTCACAGTCAGGAAGTTCTTCCTAATGTTCAGATGGAATCTCCTCTCTTGTAGTTTGAAGCCATTGTTCCGCGTCCTAGTCTCCAGGGCAGCAGAAAACAAGCTTGCTCCCTCCTCTGTGGCTTCCTCTCACATATTTATACATGGCTATCATATCTCCTCTCAGCCTTCTCTTCTTCAGGCTAAACAGCCCAGCTCCCAAAGCTCCTCATAGGGCTTGTTCTCCAGACCCTTGATCATTTTAGTCGCCCTCCTCTGGACACATTCCAGCTTGTCAATATCTCTCTTGAATTGAGGTGCCCAGAATTGGACACAATATTCCAGATGTGGTCTAACCAAAGCAGAATAGAGGGGTAGCATTACTTCCTTAGATCTAGACACTATGCTCCTATTGATGCAGGCCAAAATCCCATTGGCTTTTTTTGCCGCCACATCACATTGTTGGCTCACGTTTAACTTGTTGTCCACGAGGACTCCAAGATCTTTTTCACACGTAATTGTATGACTTCTGCAAAATATTGATGGTGGCCAAAGGATTTATATAGTAATATATTATTATTTAGTATATTGTTGTTCTACTGTAGAATTATTATTATATTTTAATATATTATTGTTGTTATTGTTATTATTATTGTAGGACATTGTTGTTGTTACCGTTGCTATAGTATATGATTATTACATTAATATATTTTATTGTTGTCTTTATTTTTTCTGCTTACTAGGTCTTAAAGTAAGATCTTATTATCACTATTATATTTTAGTATATTATTATTATAACTAGTATTATATTTAATATATTATTGTTGTTATTATATAGTCGTATATTATTATTATTTAGTATATTGTTCTATTGTAGAATTATTATTATATTTTAGTATATTGTTTTGTTATTATTATTATTATTATTGTAGTACATTGTCATTGTTACAGTTACTATAGTATATGATTATTACATTTATATATTTTGTTGTTTTTATTTTTTCTGCTTACTTGGTTTAAAGAAAGATATTATCACTATTATATTTTAGTATATTATTATTATAACTATTATTATATTAAATATATTATTATTGTTATATAGTCGTATATTATTTAGTATATTGTTCTATTGTAGAATTATTATTATATTTTAGTTTATTATTATTATTGGTATTATTATTGTAGTACATTGTCGTTGTTACAGTTACTATAGTATATGATTATTACATTTATATATTTTGTTGTTTTTATTTTTTCTGCTTACTAGGTCTTAAACAAAGATCTTATTATCACTATTATATTTTAGTATATTATTATTTTTATTATATTGTAGTACATTATTGTTGTTACTGTTAGTATTATATGATAGTATATTATTATTATTATTATATTATTATATTTTGTTGTTAATAATTATTTCCCGTGCTTGCTAGATCCTGAAGAAATCTTGCATTGAGATTCTGGCTGCAGAACCATCTCGAATCTGCGCAGGAGGTGAGTGATTTAAACTCCATAGAACTTCATTTTCTCAGTGGATTTCCAACCCTCTTTTGGGTATTTCCAGATGGAATTTTGGCAGGGAAATGCTGCTAAATATAATAACTCCATTTTATTTCCATATCTGCTGGTCTGATCTGAGTTCAAGTTGATCTATATTAGGAATGTCTTCCAATTGAGGCCAGGATGTGGATTTTTTTTGCTGTTCGAAGCCCATTTTGACCTCATTTTGTTGCTGTGAAAAGACGATAGTGGAGCGGCAGTATACATAGCATGGGATTTGTAGTTTTCCAAGGTCTGCCTGATTCTACATTGCGGAACAGATGCCACTTTTACATGCCGTGGTCCCCATGCTGTGGGTTCCTGAGAGTTGACATGGAGGAGAAACCCTATAAATGTGTTGAGTATGGAAAGAGCTTCACTTGGAGTGAAAGTCTGCGTTCATATCAAAGGACCCAAACTGGGGAGAAACCCTATAAATGCCTGAAGTGTGGGCAGAGCTTTGCTTGGAGTGCACATCTGGATTCACACTGTGGAGAAACCCTATAAATGCTTGGATTGTGGGCAGAGTTTCACTGAAAGTGGAAGCCTACATAAACATTTTTGAGGCAGAAAAGTCCTTGGGAAAACTACATCTCCCAGTTGTTCCATTGCATGGAGCTATGTCAGTCACACACTCTCAGCCTTGGAGGAGGAAGGAAGGCAAGGGCAAATCCCTTCTGAATAAATGTGTTTGTTTACTTGTTTCCAAATTCATTTACCTGTTTTCCCTGAAATAAACCCTAGCCTTATTTTTGGGGATGCTCGGGATAGAAGTCTTGCTTCGGAAATGAGTTCTGGTTCCGGTTCGTTGCAAAAATTGATATGGAAAAATAAGCCTGACCCCAAAAAGAAGTCGGACCCCAAAAAGAAGCCCTAATACATCTATTGAAGCAAGAATTAATATAAGACTCTGTCTTGTTTCTACTTCTTGATTCAAATCCCTGCTCAGCCATGGAAACTCAATGGGTAAACTTGGGCAGGTCACACACTCTCAGCCTCACAGAAACCCATGTTTTGGGATGCATCTACACTCTAGAATTAATCTGATTTGACATCACCTGAACCACCTTGGCTCTAGTTTTCTAAACAACACAGTAAAGCACGTTTTCCTGACATTTTTCACATTATTATTATTTTTTATTATTATTATTATTATTATTATTATTATTATTATTATTATTATTTATAGTCAGATTTATCTCCCCAAAGGAGACTCAAAGCAGGTTGAAATAAAAATATTAGTATTCAGTTTAAATATATATTATTATTTTATATTATAATATTATATAATAGTAATAATAATAATTTATCTCTCCAAAGGAGACTCAAAACAGGTTGACATAAAAGCATTAGTACACAATTTAAAATATTATTTATTATTGTTATTATTATTATTATTATTTTACTGACACAAAAACACACAGTATGTCACAGCAAATAATAATACTATTATTACTAAATACTAAATACTTTATTAATACTAAAGATATATTATTATTATCATCATCATTATTATTGTTGTTATTATTATTATTCATGCCCCACTTCATCTCCCCAAAGGAGACTCAAAATGCTTGACATAAAAGCATTAGCATCCAATTTAAAAATATTATTTTATATTTTTATTGTTATTATTTATTGGCCGCTTTTTCTCCCCAAATGGGACTCAAATCAGCTTGACATTTATTTATTTATTTATTTATTTATTTATTTATTTATTTATTTATTTAAAAGTTTTGTATACCAACCTTCTCACCTCTTTTGAGGTACTCAGACCGGTTTCCAACCATAAAATCACATACAGTCAGTAAAACAACATAATTCATATTACAATAACACATTAAAACAGCAAATATATTCAATAACTACAATGGTCGGTCCTCATGCTAAAATCGATTGTACATCATCTTCCATCCATATCTCAGGGTGTTGGCTCACTCATCGAATGCCTGTCTCCATAACTACGTCTTCACCTGTTTCCTGAATGCCAGGATAGAAGGGGCGGTTCTGATCTCCAGTGGGAGAGAGTTCCAGAGTTGCGGGGCCACCACTGAGAAGGCCCTGTCCCTCGTCCCCACCAGACGCGCTTGCGAGGCCGATGGGACCGAGAGCAGGGCCTCTCCAGATGATCTTAATAATCTTGATGGTTCATAGGGGAGAAAACGTTAGTATACAATTTCTAATAATAATAATAATAATAATAATAATAATAATAATTTTCTATTATTATATTATATTATATTATATTATATTATATTATATTATATTATAATAATATATTATTATTGTTATTTATGCCCCGCTTTATCTCCCCAAAGGGGACTCAAAGCTGCTTGACAGTAGCATACAATTTAAAAATATAGTATTATTATTATTTTATATTATTATATTATTATTTAATAGTAGTAATTTATTTTTATTTATACCCTGCTTTATCTCCCCAAAGGAAACTCAAAAGCTGCTTGACCTAAAAGCATTAGCATACAATTTAAAAATATAAAAATGCAAACATTAAAAACGAAGTAAACACAAACAGCACGAAAAGAAATCACAGTTAAAATCCATCAGACCATATTCAGAGTTTTAAAAGCACATTTGGAAACTTTGCAAAATAAATACTATGGTTTCCTGCAAGTCGAACTAGATAGATAAGATTTAGGTAACATTATTTCCTTGGTCCAAAACAACAACTCCTAGGATTCTGTAGCATTGGCCAAGTGGGGTCAAACTGGGTTAAATCAACAGTGCAGACGCACCCACATCTGTCTGTGAAATGTGCACAGCCTGCAACTCTTGTTCTCTTTTGCACGGATGGCCGACCCAGACAGATTCCGCCTGGTTTTTGTGCAGTTTATCCTTTTGGGATGAAAGCAATTGAGGCTTGGAGCGGAGCCCAGATTCCTGAACCGACTTGAATCCTTCTCCATCGAGATCCCTTGAGGCCCATGAGAAGCAAAGTGGTGCAAATTGCAAACTCAGCACAAAACTGGGGTCACTCTCCGTTGCAAAGGCGCTTTTCGATCTGTCTGGCTCTGCGCATTCACGCACAGCTGCAAAGGAGGAAGGAGCCTTGGCTGGAATGCATCTTAATTCCGTTTGCTGGGTTGCTCCTTTTCTTCCTCAACCGAAAGCAGTGGAAATGGCAAAATGAATGCATGCATTTCAGCCAAGCCCCATAGGGAGATCCTATAGATATGAGTGTCATTTCAGATGGATGTATATTAGGATTGTCTTCAAATTGAGGCCAGGAAGACTGTCGGAACGACCAGGATGTGGATGTTTTTGCCGTTCGAAGTCCATTCGTTGCCATGAAAAGGAGAGAGTGGGGCCATACTCCATGCTAGCCAATTGGAGCCTGTATATATTCTCTACTGAAAGAGCTGGGTTCAAATCCCCTTGTCCCAGTCACACTCTCTCGGCCTCGGAGGAAGGCAGAGGCAAACCCTTTCTGAACAGATTATGCAATGAGAGGCAGTGCATTACAGTATAGGATGCATTTGGCACCGCTTCAACTGCTGTGGGATCCTGGGAGTTGTAGTTTTCCAAGATCCACCTGGTATTATTATTATTATTATTATTATTATTATTATTATTATTATTTGAAACACAACAAGTTGAGTCCACAGCAGACACTGCTGGCTGTTGAACTGTCTGTGTGAATAATGCATGCAGATCCCAGTAAGGTGGCCTTCTGCAACTGGCAGATGGTAATTTTGTCAGCACCAATTGTGTTTAAGTACAGGCCAAGGTCTTTAGGCACTGCACCCAGTGTGCCGATCACCACTGGGACCACCCTGACTGGCTTGCAGTTCAATCTTTAAATTCTCTTATTGTGTCAGCTTTTCCAATTATTATTATTATTATTATTATTATTATTATTATTATTATTATTATTATTTGTTATTATTAATGGCATACTGAATACATGGGGACCACCTTGTCCAAAATTCATCCACATCCATATTATTATTGCCGTTATTATTGATAATAAAATAGAATACTAAATACATGGGGACCACCTTGTCCAAAATTCATCCACATCCATATTATTATTATTGTTATTATTATTATTATTATTATTATTTGAAACACAACAAGATGAGTCCACAGCAGATACTCTGCTGGCTGTTGAATTGGTTCACACATCGGACACTTCCCAAATGTCTAGGACTGTGTGATGTATCGGCGAATAATGCGTGCAGATCCCAGTAAGGTGGCCTTCTGCAGCTGGCAGATGGTAATTTTGTCAGCGCCGATTGTATTTAAGTGCAGGCCAAGGTCTTTAGGCACTGTACCCAGTGTGCCAATCACCACTGGGACCACCTTGACTGGTTTGTGCCAGGGTCTATGCAAATTATTATAATTACTATTAAATAATAATAATAATAATCTTTATTTATACCCCGCCACCATCTCTCCAAGGGGACTCGGGGCGGCATACATGATTCCAAGCCCAACAATACAATAATGCAAATAAATAACGTACAACAGCAGTAAAAATGTAAAAATAAAATACAAGACACAATATAAATAAACATCAGCAATATAAAATCATAATAATTAAACACAAGAAAATAAATGACAGTGGGCAGGGCTGATAGCAAGGATTAAAATTTTTGAAAACACTGGATGAGGAGGAAATGCATTGTATCTGGACGGGATCAGGTAGGATTTAATTGCACTAGTAGGAAGAAAATAAAGTGCTTTCGAGGACAATTATTTGCAGGATTTGTTCGGATCAGAGGTTATAGTTCAGTTAATAATTCCTTGAAGGCACACTGGAACAGCCAAGTTTTCAAGTTCTTCCTAAAGACTGCCAGAGTGGGGGCTTGCTTAATTTCTCTGGGGAGCGAATTCCAGAGCCAAGGGGCCACCACAGAGAAGGCCCTCTCCCTCGTCCCCACAAGTCGCATGATCTGGAAGATCAAAGGGATCGTGTAGGTTCATAAAAGGAA